GCTCTTCCTGTGTCATCTAGTCAATTAGAAGTCAGGTCAATCCCAGTCGGACTGTAAGCTGTCATCTTATTAGTTTCACTACCGAAGATGAAGAGATTAAAAAACTTCACTCTTCGAATTCGGTCTTATCAGACGTCCGGCCGGTTCCGTGAGGTGCAATCTACGCCAAAAATCTACTTGATCAGGAGACTATACCAGTTCCAGCAGCTTTTTTGATATGAAACGGGCGTTTCTGAGTTTATCATTCAAGATAGTCCAAATATGTCTCGAAGGCACTCTGCTATGAGGCTTCGGAATAGTTCGAAACATCTTGTGTGAAATTGGCCTTCCTAATAATGTTGTCGGTCACAGTTCGTTTGACGTGTCAGAAAATCCTGAGGAATTTCTACCCTAATCTACAGTTCCGGTGTGCTCTCCAGAAAGGTTGGCCCAGTTGCAGGATTAGTAAGGCCATAAAAAGATGCTTTGTGCGTTTTTTACGTTATTGCTATACTGATAGGCGACCGTTAGAATGTTATGTGATTATCTTTTAATGTGAATTACCGAGGCCAAAATTCCTTGGTATCTTGTTCCACATGCAATTATTTTGGATGAACGACAGGACGACTGAGTCAAAAGACAGAGACCTGATACAAGATACCCATAAGTAGCACTGCAGGCCAACATTTTGTCGACACACCCCGACATAAACCAGAGTAGAGCTTTCTATACCATTTATAGAACGTAATTGAACCAAACGAGGTCGGCGCAATCACGTACTTTATCTCTGGCCAAGGACATTTACACCAAATTGTTTGATTTCGATCCCTTTCCATTTAAGCGTTTCTTCCTGCACTAGACGTCCCGCAGCCTAACCCATCCATCAGCGCGCTCACAGACAGCGCACGCCCACGAGGGAACAATTTGGATCAGACTTGCCCTTACACACAGCCCAGCAGCCGTCTACTATTGGTGGAAATTGTGCTGTACATTCATGTTGAAGCATTTTGTATGGTATTCGCAGTCGTGTTGATCTTCATATTAACATCAGTAGACAGGTCTTTTATCGTAGCTGTATATCCTTCAAACGACACAAATGTGTCTGTCTGTTTTTTTATAATTCATGCAAGTAAATGTAGATCAGCGCATCATGCACTTCAGCCTCATTTTCGTGTCCCACGCGATAGGGAACAAGAACCTTGGCTGATTCCGTTGAAGCCATAGAGGCTAGAGTCTTGACAGAAGACTAATTGCAGTTGTTGTCGGTGGGTCTCACACTACAGTGCTTTGCAATTATCCACATCGGAAAGGATTATTTGCATCCACATATGGTGCTCTAGTTACAACGCCTTGGTCAATGGACATTCTCAGTTATCACGGAAACAAAGAATTTGCAGAATCACCCGAGGCGATGGCGCTGACAGAGCGCTGTTGATAAGATCCTCGTTTACGGGTTGAATCTAAAATTTCCCGACTGCTCAAACATGTCACACAATGTAGTAGGGGTTGAAGGTACCCAGAGTCGCTGATAAGGCATAAAAGCTTGTTAATCCACTCTTCAAGGGGCTCACTTCGTTTAGATAGTCTATTTCCCACACTGCAATGTTCTATTTACGTGGTTCCTATCATATTGACTTCCTATTCTTGTTTAAACATACGACAGGCACTGAGTGCCTATTTTACAGATGTATCATGTTAACGCACTATCGCGTTTGACACTCCCAGGTATGTAAGTTAGGTCACCCGCTACAGTTAAAATAAAAAGTCCACCACGCAATCGGATGTCCTTATTAACATCATTATTGAGTGGTGTAAAGGGTATTATAGTCTACTAATTTTGTTTACACCGCTCAAGAGATTACTATTTGATAAATGGGGAGTGTGGGTTTGCAGAGCGAAACGCTCTTCAAGGTCATCAAAATGTCACCGCACACTAACCGTTGCGAAATGCACGAGTCACTACGTGGTATATAAAAGTTGGCAACATTGCACAAATGTCCCCCAATTTCAATGCTCTTAAGCCTCAAAATCTTTTTATAAGCACCGTTTTTTCTGATTTTTTCATACAGCTGGTTGTAAACTTCATGGTTCGGACCTTGGTAAGCTATCGAGATTTATCCCATTTTTCCTTCGCTTTGTTCCCAAGGAAAACCTTCGCTCACATTTAAAGGAATAGAAAACCAAGTTCTCAAGCTTGACTGGTCGATTCCTTACGAATGTGAACCACAACGCATACGTGTTTATGTCGAGCAGAACCACCAACCATGGAAAGTTGATACACAGCTAGCCGGGAACAAATCTGTGGCAATAGATGGAGCCCAACTATGCACTAATTATGAATTCAGAAGTATTATGCAACATCAAGACGGCAGTGAGCGCGTTTCAGATCCACTATCCGTAACAACTTTCCCAGGTATTTGTTTACGATGTCTTGAACGCATTGCACATCATCAAAATGAATTGTTTTGAAATTTCTCCTCGCAGTTTTTGAACGAATACCTGGAACTCCCGAATCAAAGAATCTCAAAAGTCAGTCGTGTTTGTTCCCCTTTTTGACTTTCAGTGTTAGGTTGAATAAGTAAAGGTTTGGAAAATGGTCAGCTCTGTATGATGGTGCCCCAGTGAGTTGCCCAGCTTTAATGACGTCTACATTCACTTTGTGCCCAGGCGTCAGAAACAATACGCACCAAATGAGACCAGAAACTGGTTGCAGTTCACAGCTAAAGTATTTTTGTACAAACACCCCAGGGTCTAGCTGACTGGAAATAGAAACTGTTATCAGACTGAAGCAGAAAAATGTTTTGTATATTCTTTGCAACCATTATATCGGCCCATTCCGTTTTCCCACCAAAAATTATGTAACATCAATTTCACTGTATCTAAGCTCTACAAGTAAGTAAGTGTTCCAAAATACGTAGTCCTTTTAAATCCTGACGCGAAAGTATCAACGAGTGGTGTGGTTAAATTCGGTGACTCGCCTGATTCTCGTCCTCAAGTCGATTTCTGACTGACTGAAGTTTGGTAGTCAGTCGTTTCATCAGTGCGATGTGGCTTCTCACCCCAAGGAATGATACCGCATCGACTTGGTTTGTCGCACTGGGCCTACCTTAACAGAGAGACAGAGCCTCAGGTCAGTGATTTCTGGGTCTTGATTGTCAGTAAACTGTGCTCCTTCACAAAGGTCAAGTTGAAACAACCTCGAAGACAGCAGTTCTATCATGGAGACACGCATCTACAATATTTCAGTTTAGCTGATGATCTTCCAACCAACAACATCAGCCTGATTCAAACTAGAACATTTCGAGGCGTGATTTTTCTGAATCCATCTAGACAATCTGTTGTTAAAAAGTGTCTCTGTATCAAGGTGTTAGCAGGCTGAATTCGTTTACCCACAAATTTACTGGTCGGAATGTATAACGGGGATAGAAGGTAAAGAAAACGCACGTACATTCGTGTTATATTTTCGACCTACTGGGGCCATCCCTCGTACAGCTTTACAGAGCACCCCTAATTGTCACAAAAAATTCAATGATAAGCTCATGAGAAATTCGAGGACGTCCTAAATAGGTTGGTACCCCTTAAATGACTTATTGAGAGTTTTCGTCGCGCACATAAAAGGGTCCTCTGAAGTGAAGTAGCGGAAATACCTGTATGGTATCGTAGCGCCTGACTGTGCCTTCCGATAGTGAGACGCTGAGCGGTCCAAAGCTGGCGGGCTCAGTAACCTAACTCGAGTGCCACACACATTGGGAATGCACTGGGGGGTTTATAAGACAGCACGTGCAATCCGCAGTTGAGCGCTTGTTTGATATAAGGAGAGCAACACACACCAGTAGCTCTTACTTTGAGTAGCTGGCATCAGTGTGCTGCTTTCGCCATTCAGTGCATTACTTTGGCTCTGAGAAAATAACGGTACAACACTTGCTGCACAATCCGGCCTGGTTGCGACACTTTCAGATGAAACATTCATCGACTAATACCAGTTTAACAATACCCAAAGCAACGAATAATTCCAAATCAACAAAAGCACTAGCATTGGAATAGGGCTGACAGAAGCAGAAACGAGCTGCCTTTGCACATTCCTAAGGAACCGTGTAAACGAACGGTTTGAACAGTTCTGGTTGCTTGCAGATCCTTTTCTCTAACTTTCGCCTGTCACCAAATACAAATTATAAGGAGATGTCATCGCTGAATGCGAGAACTTAACCAGTCCATCTTTCGAGGTGTCCATTGACGGATTTTCCGTACCGTCGTGTCACCGGGCTGCATGAAAGTGAGTCCAGGTTTAAGCCATACGTGTAGCGTAATAAAAGTGGCCCATTTGTTGCCCTGCATCAATCACTTAATGAAGTTAGTGGTCTTCAACTCTCTTGATTTGTCACCCTAGATCCAGATCATTCGTCAGTAGAAATATTCGGACGTTTGGACGTGCTCAAAGTAATCAAAAAAGCCTCTGTATTTTTCTGCGAAGTGGTATGCTGGGGTTTTCCGACTGTTTGTCAGTGAAGTTTATAAGATATTACAATGACTGCTCCGTATCCTGATGACAGTCCGGCGAACTCAATTGTGTTTCGCTGTCAGTTGAGAAATTGGATCCCAAGTTTACCGACTTTGCCGAAAGATTCAGCCTATTGTACAAAGCTTGTGATAAGCTCTAGAATACGATCTTTTCTAGGTTTTCCCAATGGTAATTTGTGGTGGCATAAAAAATAAATTAGGCGCCGGAGCCGTGGATCTCTCTTTGCTTATTTGTCTTTTACATATTACTCATGATCTGTCCTATTTGTACTTGGGCCCAGCGAGCTACAGCAGCCACAACAGCAGCTGAAAATGCCCACTGTCCTCTGTGACAAAGGACTTCAGCAATGCAATCATCCACCAGTCTTGTGACAACACCTTTAGATCATGCGGTAGAACTCAAGGCCCCAGAGAAAAATGAGTCAGTCGGCAGCAGTCATCGTTATGTTATCCCGGACATCCCTCACGCCTGTCTATGTGGTAGGCTTGAACCAGCGAAGTTCCATGCAATTCCTCAACTGAATGTGCTGAAAAGGCCGCTTCATATTTAAGTTGAACCGATATTGTGGGTTTGGAACTGGCTGTCTTGATAAGAATTGAAAACTCATTTGCAAATCAAGACGACTCTAGTTGGGGACTCAGCCGAATCTATATTTTGTGCTTTGTTACAAAGAAGGTCCTCATTTGAGTTTCCCGTTGAAAGCATCCGTATTTTGTCGACGAATAAATACTTGATATTATTGATATTCGGGGAACTGTCCTGCCTTACGAAACCACTTGGAAAAGAATTGCCTTCTGTTTTGCGTCTTTCGTTCCGGAATGTGTAAAATAACTAGTGCAAGCTTGCAGTCAACTTGTAATTGCTATTTAGATTGACTTCACACGATTACATGAATAGATATTACGCGGCCACGCGTAAACCGCCTTGTCTTCCACGTAAACGAGTTAGTAATTCTGTGGGTAGCTGACGCGTTAAAAAGATGGGAAATTCTATGCCTATATATATATATATGAAACACATGCGAACTGAATAGCCATATAATATATATATATATATATATATATATATATATCAATTTTCCGCCTCAAGACATCTTGGTCATTTTTGTATGATATCGCGAAAAACTCCCAAGTTGATCTAATAGAAATCCTAAGGCGCCACGCCCAATTTCAAGGTGAACTGGGTTAAGCGCTTCGCAACGCTTCGGATTGAACGCCACGGGAGAATTTTCAATCTAAAACACAGTTTTCTCTGAATTCTTGTGGATACAATTTAACTCTCCTGATGGGTTATCTTGGTAATATTTACAGGACGTCGTATTAAAAACTGTGGATCTTTCAAACATTGCCTTTCTGATGTCATACGCTGCCGGCCTATTTCCACAGTCACCCGTTCACTGAAGCATACCTAATGATAGAACTACAATGACGGATGAATAGTGATTTTTGCATTCGATGCTCATCGGCTCATTTGAGCAACCGTTCAAACGCTTATGTGTAGGATGTAGTAATACGGTTTCAACATTTGACAGTGCAAGTGGCTGCATTTTGCTCCAGAAATTTTCTGTGTGTATCAATCTGCGACCCCGTCAGTGAAATGCGATTGGGCTGCACGACAAAGTGGATCGCAGGTAATGAGGCTTTCGGTCTAAGGTCATTGTGGACGTAATGGCAGTACATTTCAAGATTGGTGATTTAGGAAGTACTCGCTTTCTAACGTCAAAAAGCTCAGCGAAGTAGTCAAATTGAATGAAAGATTGAGTGTGCTTTCGAATCAACATGGGAACACTCAACCCACCTTAATCCGCATTTCAAACATCACCTAAGTTCTTTTGCGAATGTTAGTGGTCAGGTACACTCCACTGCTGTACAAATACAGCTGCGTTGCCAGAAAGGACCACTTTCTAGAAAAACCCCTGGTCGTCCTATGAAAGATTCTTCCAGTGAAATTGCTTTCGTGAGAGTCCTATTCTTGTATCGTCACGGAAAACGGACTGTATCACATCATTTGATGGAGACACGTGTGGCCACTTAAAGAAAGTTTGACGGAGGATTCAAACCCGAGCCAATATAACTTAAGTTATATGCTAACTTAACTATGCTATCTGCCAACGGCCTTGCCAGATCCATACTATTCTGAATGTTAAGTTGTAATCAAGCACACATGAAAGTCTTTATTGCTCTTTATCGCTCTTCTTCGCGCAAGCGTAAGCCCCCGAGGGGCCAGAAGAAATGCATTCTCAGTTTTGAGGCTGGAGGAGACATTACCCTTCAAATAAACTAAAACAGGTCGATTGTGGCGAGTGCCGGTGGACAGCGACCGTGTCAGTTATTTGTATAAAAATTCGGTTCACCAATAGCTAATGTTTACTCTCCCTTTCAGAAAATACCTTGAAGCCAGTGCCGATAGTACAGATAATGAACGATGGAAGTGTTTTGGTTTCGTGGACTGCACGGCCTGGTTGCAGTGTGACTTTGACTAAAATTTTATTGAATGAACTTGGCGCTGGAGTGGAGGAATATGTTGCAGGTGGTGAGGACAGCGAATTTGTCATTCTGGACGCCAAACCATGTTCGTTTTACCATGTTCAGTTGAAAATTGTGTATGCTTCGGGTTACATCGAGGAGTCGGTTGTTGTTGCAGCAAATACGTTTACCAGTAAGTATCCGTGGAATTACTTCAAAACCATATTGTAAATGTGTCAAATCAGTTTCGTCAAGACCGGATGATTGACACGTTATCCTGACTGTCCACAGCTCTTTATCTTTCCTTCTATCATATTCATTTAAAAAAGCAAGGTTTGACTAAATTTTCGTGGTTAACTTCCGAAATATGCGGAACCTTATGTTCTTCAGCTGAAAATATCTAGACGTATTGCACCAACCTGGAAAAGTTTTTCGATTGAACCGATATCAAATTCATTTGGATAGAGTTTAAGAAAATCAAAGTCGTCGTAAAACAGTTCCGGTGTGCTCTTCTACCGATGTAACGTATCAACTGCTTTCCGTTTCCGAATATTACCCGCTTTCTGTCATGATAATAAGCAGAAAACGGCAATTTTTGAGGCGCTCACCAATACTTACCATATGCTTGTGAGTTATTGGAGACAGTGTGAAAAGATCAGCTGTGGTCACTCATTATTGGTTGTTGATCTGTTCGCCGTGCTTGGCAATTGGCTTGCAAGCCAATTGCCAAGCTCGGCGAACAGATCAGCAGCCACCTGATCAACAACCAATAAACTCACCCGAGCTACCAATATTTCAACAAATTACCAGTGGTCACTCATTCTTTTATTGGGTTGTGTAATGTGGTTGCAGAATTTTAATAACCACAAAGTTTATATCACCGTCTATTAGTTGGGGACACTTTCTGTAACAGCAATGGTCGTTTGGAATTTTTGGCTATGAAATCAACATTTCACCTTTTCGCGTTTGAAGGGCTTACATGAGTTTCGGTTCCTAGGTAGTGGAATATTTAGTTTTAACTCCTCTCCTGGAATGCGGATGGTTAGTTGGAATCGGGCATTAATATGCCACTCACGGCGAACGTCCATTAAGGTGTATGTGAGAGGTAGAAAACCCTCATTTCTATTAGGTCGTTTAGGTACGGAGGCGGAATCTTTTATGGGATGAAACTCCATAGTCTCACTGAGAAAATATGGTTCGAAAATGCCTTTACAAAGCAGCTAGAGTTGAACAACGAAAAGATTGCAGCTTGAAGGCGCTCATTTCTTGGAATTATTTATTTGGCTACTTCCGAGGGCTTCACTGTCAGATCACCCAAATGACTGCTACTGTATCGTCCTTCAAAATGATTGTTTTTCAATAATCTCCGGCTCAACGGACTGTTATCGAAAAAGATTTTGCATTTTAACAGTTGAAACCGTTTGAAGCTTTCTTATGTTCCATCTGGTATAAACAACGCAAAACCAGTCATCAGAATTCAAAAACTACGGCGCTTCTCTTCGCCCTCACTCAGTATGGCGCTCTCTGACTTAAGATATAATAGCTATCTTAAAATAAAACCCATGATGCTGTTGCAGACTAGGTTTTTAACAAGAATGCTTTTGTGATCTAGTACATGTTCACCGTAAGTGTGTCTCCAGTTCGAAGACCAAGAGACGTGTCTATCATGTATGACAATGTCTGTTCTGTAACTAAATTGATAAACCATTGGAATATAAACAGATCAATACAGACCAAACAGACATAATGTTTTGCGCTGAAACACCCTAGCCTGCACGAAAACCCACTGAGGTAAAATAACTATAAACTTCTTTCGTAAGTACGGAAATTCCCACTGGAGAAGGATAGTCAAAAGAAGATCAAAGCATGTTCGGAAGTGACCTAATGTACTCAGTACTCCGTTGAAAGGGAATAGAGAATGGTACAATCAACCCAAACTGACTAGTGTCAAAAAGCTATTCACTTGCAGCAATTCGGCCTCTATCGCATACTGGCTGTCATTAATATCGATCCACTTAATCTCCTTCGCCACTTATGTTACCCAGGATACCAAGAACTGACCTCCAGATAACGTTGCTTTAGCCTGGTCCTTGCATTATTCTGATGAATAATTCTTTTACTCGAGGCTCAAGTTTTCTTAGGGCGCCTTTTGGCATTGCTCTTACGAGTTTTTTTTTCCAACAATCCTTTGAACTGGAAATCCGCAAATTTATATTGCAGTGTTGAAAATCTTGCTGATACTTAGGACGCCAGCAGAGAGTCCGAAAGGATACCCGGATTGCAGTCGGCTAATGAAGTGACGGTTTGATCATTCACGCTAAAAAGCCGAATTTATGCCAAGAACAAGAATATCCGTGCGAGCATCATTCTTGTAATTTCCGGACAAAATATCGTAAGGGAATTACATGATGAGTGCCTATTAACGATGCACCTGAAAAATTCTGGGCATCAGGAAACGTCTGCCGTGGTTTCTGAAACAAATTATGAGAAGTTTTCCATTTGCCTCGAACGAAGTTAGAAAATGTAACAAAAGTTGTATATTTTTGGTACTTGGTTAGGGGCCGATTTGGCACCAAGGTTATTCGATAAATACTCTTTTTACCCTTATAAAATATACTGACGAGTAGTCACCATTTTGACTACTTCCGGCAGCGTCCCCATATTGTCTTATTTGTGTGGCGTGTCGCTAAAAATACCACCGCATAATACATTTCACCCTCAACTGCACAGTCTCTCAGCACTTAGCAGTAAAAATGAAAGATTGTGGTGTGCAATTTGTTATTCTGGCGTCTAATTATAAGGTCCGTTGTCCAGCGTCAGCATACAATCTCCCCATCTGTGTTTGCATTCAGTCACTCAACACAGCATTTCAAGGCATAGAGTGAAACACTATCAAACATTTCGTACACCGAAAAAGGATGTCGTTTTCTAGCACAGCGACAGAGAATCGTATAATGAATTTCATTACTGAAAGATTCGGTCTCTTGTTGATATCAACTTGATTTGCAAATAAGTATATTTCTCAAGTGGCGTGCATTTTGATGTTTCGTTGAGTAATAAGATAGACAAAAACCCGAGGACTACCTCTACCGGCTGAGCCTCAAGAGGGACGAAGCTAAAAGTGCGGTGCCCGAGTTTTCGGCAACTTTCCAAGTAGTATGTTGCGTGAGCAAAACGGAATAACATCACCAGCTCACAACTGTAATCTTGTTTTCGAATATATTCTCGAAAAAGGTAAAATGTCCATCAGACCTGAACCTACGTCTAAGAGTTGGATCTGATGTCTCACTTTACAGCGCAAATCGCTCCGGTGATCTTGTCCAGTTATATCTCGGACAATCGTACGCGGATTCAATGGGATTCATCCAACACTTGCAATGTGCTGAGCTACCGACTGGACGTGGTTGATACAAAGACAGGTGAAGTCCAAATCTACGCGGACACAAAGACCAGTGTCGACGTACCTATTGATTCCACGACGACACTGTACCAAGTAACGGTCAGCTCGCTGTCACCCTTTGGACAAATGCAACTGGCACCAATGCAACCTATTTGGCCAGGACGTGGTTAGTGGATATAAATTCTTTTTCACTAACTTTCGCTATCAAAAGTGACTGAGATCGACGTCACGAACCTTTTGCTGAAGAGTGATATGTTTTTAATCCCCCTGTCCTAAAAGAAGTGACCTGAATGTAGAAATTCGGACTGCGGAAGTCAAATTTTCAAGATTCTATAAAATCTCCGTCAACGTAATGTTCGTCAGATTTAGCCCATCATCTATTCTTTGAAATGTTTTAAAGGAAATGCCACTTAATGCTATTAAATGCGGTGGTGTGTTTTGAGCGTCAAAACGAATTGAGTACTCTGAGTACTCCGTCAATTCACCGTGGCCGGTTAATAGTGCAACATCTCAATCCGAGCGAATTTGTCGTTGCACCAGTTAACTGTGAGTCAATTCGTCACCAGCTCAATGTGATGTATACTAATTTATTGCAAACTAGTTTGGTGCGATGTCGTTTACCCGCTTTCCCCCAGTTATTTCATTGCAAAACCAATCTACCGGTCTATGGGAGGTGTTTTCGTCATAATACAAGGTCACTGAAGCCTGGTACATTACAGAACTACCTCAGCGGTCCGGGCCACGCAGTGTATTTGTCAGCAAGGATACGGAGACCTGAGGTAGGCGTTACTTTGCCAACAAACTTTGCAAATCGATGTGGAAAATGTGCCTTCACTGTACTGTGATTTCTCCTAACTCCTTCCAGCATGCACTCATAATCTGCGTCTCAGCAACATTAGGCTAGCTATTTCTCTTAACACAGTACAATTAATTTTTCCTTCTGGATTGGAGGCTTGACGTAGGTCTCGTTTTTCTATCTTCCTAGTGCCCAAAAAGCCTAGCGCCCCAACTGTTACCGCTGAGGGGAAGTATGTCAAGGTCCACTGGGAAAATTTAAATGTCGACCACAGTATTCACTTCCACAAAGTAACTGTTTTCCGGCCAGGAAAATCTGTCAAACACTGGATTGTACCAACAGATCAAAATTTTATCATTCTCGAAGATGTCGCATCCACTGGGCTTCCTTCATTCAGTATTCGTGCAATAAACCAGTACGGGGAGAGCCAATCTTCTGAGGTGGTGCGATTCTGATTAGCCCAGTCGGACGATCTTAGATGATCCACTATCCCTCTGGTAAGGTATTGTGAATGTTGTACTTTGAGTTGTTATTTCTTACTAACATCCTGAATATACTGTGTTGACTTTCGTGAAACTTACTGTTTGTGCGACTCTTTCAGTTATTCTTTCGTTATTCACAAATAGCGGAAACAACTAGCGTGTGTGAAGCATTACTACCAGCTTGTTTGGATATTTTTGTCTCTTAAAAAAAGCCGAACTTCTTACCATCCTTGGCGTTTTCCAGCATCTTGTTTGCAAATCAGCAAATTTACTCAGTACCCAACCCCTGAACACCATACATACTTGAGGGGTCTATTCTTTTTTTCAGTTTTCCATGAATTATCGTTTCCGGGTTTGTCTGACTTATCCTGAAAACCATACTGAATCCACACAATTCCTAGTCGGTTCATTTTTTCAGTATTCACTTGGAAGAGGGCATTATGTAAACCGTTTGAGCCCTTTCGCCAAATTCACATAGGAAGTCCAGTCATCAAGATCGATTTCTGCACTACATCCCAGATTTTCGTTCAGTTTGTCCTTGAAATGTCTATCATTTTCCTGTCCCACTACCGCAGCAAATAGCAAATTCCAGGGGTTGATGACCAGAGCGCCGCTGCGTGCACTTTGCCAGCTTTAACGTGAAGAAGGATCATCGAAGACCTTCTAAATCGAATCTGGTCGCCGTGCAAGCCCGATTCATATGCGCTGGTGTTTTAAGCGAATTAGGGGTTATCATTCATCATCACATTATCGCGTCACAAGCGGAGTTGTATTTAGTTGACATCCGCTTTGCAACCGATATGCATATAGAACCATCCGTTCGGGCTGACAAGAAGACGCCGAACCAGACAGACTATTCAGGCCCTCCTGTAAGAACTTCGGGTTGTCGCCGTTACAAATTTCCCACCACAACTTCATGTTTGTGAACGCCGGGCAAGGTGAAGGACCGAAGAAACTCGAACGGATCGTCAGCATAGTCAATAAACAATGTTGTTCGTAAACTTCAGGGACGTCCCCGACTACCGGTCTCTGTGGAACCGACTGTGACCGACGAGGAGGTATGAGGCTTATCGAAATAATCATCGCAGACGCCACTAGCAGATGGCTTTATTACCACTCTTACAGGAAAATTTGTCAAACCGTTTGTCCTAAAGGAACCTAGCTATACAGATGTTTAATTGGACTATGCCAACTTCGAATACTTATACGCTTATTCCTCTGCCGTCCCAAGTGGGAGGAATTCCAACAAAGCTGCTTTGCAATTTTACATGCCACCCGATCAACTTGGGTTCTCGATGAGGGTTAAGTAACCGTGACGTTAAGGTGCGAATTAGATTTATAACCTGTTCAACGTACTGGTAAACCTGCACAGACACCTATACTGGCTAAAAATTGCCGTATTTATCTACAGCTTTGCTAACTTCCCTATTTTTACGACACAGCGATGTGAATTCATACAGGGATTTCTAGATCCATACCGTCCACGATGCACGGAGCTCACCAAAATAATATGATAGGGAAGGTATAATATGATGTGAAATTTGTTTGGTTTATTATCTAAATCAATTTTCGGATACGAAGGTGGTGAACGTAAAACGAATGATCGAATAACTCACATTATTGTCAACCTGTTATTTTACAAGAAGTAGGTAACTGAGTGCTCGGTAGACGACGTGCTACAAACCCAACAGTGCGTTGTATTGGCATGAATGAGAATCCGTGACATGTGTAAAATTCCTCACAGAACACCTGCTCCCAGTAAATACGGATGTTTTCATGTGTCAGCAGATATCTCTCTGATCGCCGATTGAGATTACATCCGCCGAAAAGGAACCCCCAAATTGGTTGTAAACAAACGCAATAAATGTGCATCAAGAGTCCAGGTGGGCGTACATGCTCCAACATCAGAATGAGACCATCCTGAAAACACACAAAATAGACAGATGTATCACACTACAGACATCAGGTTTCCAAGCCTCAGCCAGATGGAACAGAAACAACTGAGCAATGGTAGTGACCAATCCTCAGTTTGGTTTTTTAACTGTTGTGTCGGAATTATTGTAAACCTTTCTCGACCAATGAATTTGTGTAGGCCTTTCCTTTCGGGAAACCTCAGTGAATGGCTGAGTGAGATTGATGTGTTCTGGGGGTGACTTTGCCGTTTGTAACGGAAAAACAGTGACCTATTCTGACTGGCTTATGTATCCGTTCCCTTCAGATTGGGGTAGATGCATCAAATCACACATGCACAGTAACTAACAAACCAGATTAAGTTGTGGTAACTTTTTCAACAGTCTGAGCTAGACGTCCAAGGTGAAGAAGTAGCAGGTAATAAGAATGCTATGCCGTACAGCCTTCTGTGCAAAATTATTCGCAGATGATCACAGTCATGTAACGGTTTGGAGGTATTAAACCATTGTCTTCAGACCACTCCACAAAAGATGCCGCTTCTTCGTGGTCTATTGGAGTTGATTTCGATTGCACACCCCCTCGCCGAGGAGCTGAACCTATAGCGAACACACTGAATGATCCTTTGGGAGAAGGCAAATACGTCAACAAATACGTTGAGCGAACATTTTACGATACCACCTGTGAGCTATTTTAGAGCGCAGACAAAGGACGGGCACACTGAATGTCTAAATTTTTTTACAAAGCATTACTACGGTCACAGTCATCAAATAACCTACCGGTTTCACCAGTTCCGTTGCATTCTTCAAAACCCTTTCCAGATCATGCACAGAACACAAGGTGAAGCATGAAACAAAAGCATCAAACTGTCCATCAATCGGTCTAGTAGATGTTGTCCGTTCTGGCCCCTCAAGCTTGTCAGCCTTCGATAGTACTTTATCCAGGATGTTTTCCGCAGGAACATCATACCATGCTTCCAAAGCGATTCGAGGATGTGCATCTGGTGACTGATTAGAAGTACTGCTATAGGGCTCAGCACTGTTCACTGTATCCAGTTTTTGATTGAATGCTTCTCGAAAACCGGTAGCTGGCTCGACAACCACGAGTTGAGTATCTTTCGGATAATTCTCCAGCGTTAAACCATCTGCTGCCCCGATCTCCATTACACGAATGTAAGCCCCGGGTTTAAGCTTGTTGTACGAAAGAAAAGAGAAGTGAAGTGGCATTATTTAGTTCCCGCTGACTTTACTGTTGGCGCTAGGATAGCAAGATGTACCAATAAATTCTTTATAGCACCTGAACAATGATCTGTCGATCACATTCGACTCGAGACAATAGTACGGAACACATTATTTTTTTAATTACGTTTCCACTCCTAACGAGCAAAGACACAGTAGTTTCGGACATCAAACGACGGATACCAACCAAAGATGAAATACGGAATTTATCATAGTATTGCTTTAAAAGAATACCTTGCACATAGGGAAAGGGGAATTACATGATTTTTGTTGAAATAATATCTCTTCTTACCTGTTCCTAAAAGTCTGAGAGAACATAAATTAATGTATCGTATAGATGGCTCGGTCAGTCTCGCGTAAATAGTACTACTGTTGATTTATTCATCTAACAATCTAAGCAAAAACCCATAGCCAGTACAAAGGGTATATCGCAGTCTATTGAAGTAAACCTCCATTAGTTCAAATATTTCATCATACTGAAAATAATTTCATTCCTCCGATAGTCGAGTTCTTTTAACACTTAAAGATACGTGAATACGTTCCTAGTTTCAGAAATTGCTCTGATGACGTGTGGGCCAAAAGCTTGTTTATATTCGTCCGTTTCGGAGCGAGTGCAAAAGAGCGTTCTCTGAACTCTACTTAATGACATCAAACTACTTCCAGCCATCAAGCACATTTATTTGGAGATAGTTGAATCAGAAACATGCCATATTTCGTCCCTTGCTTTTATGTTGAAATTAATAGACATTCTGTTGCATTCCCTGAACCCTTGAAGTATGTATGTGGGCAGCAACTTAGACCATTTCCGGAATACCTTTGTTCCTTTGTAATGCACTACACATTAAAGTGCATTCCTGCTGGAATTTTGATGTATTTTCTCCCCCTTAAGAGGNGCTGGAATTTGAATGTATTTCTCCCCCTTAAGAGGCAGGTAAACTTTTCTTGCCACCGTAATTGCGAGGTCAAACCACGTGGCCAAGAAATATTATGGATTGGATATGGCTGACTGATTAGGAAAGCAGTGAAAAATAACAAACTTATGAAATTCAATTCATAATCTGAGGCACTGTGTTTTTTGGCTTTGTGATTTGTAATCCAGTTGTCCAACCAGCCAAACTCATGGGATATTCAGAGGCTGCGGGTGAGCTGCTTGGTAAGATGACGGTCTACCAATTGACGACGCTATATTTTGGTCTTGTATCCATTTTCTCATTCGGAAACAAACCTTAGAAGCTGAATACCTCAAAACCGGTCGTATTTTATGTCATCAAGGCTGTTATCAAAACACAACGCTCTCCTTATGACAAACGAGAGGGGTTTATATAGCTTTGTCTTTCGACATTTTAAAACGGAATGTTATACCTGTAGTTAATGGCAGGTTTTTCGCAATAGGGATCAGGACACCACAACTCCCTATGGCTGTGTGTATAAACGAGGGAGGAAATTCGGAGAGTTAACAGCATAGTGGAATTAAACGGAGTAATAGCTTTTGCCTGTTTTCTGTGTCTGAAAAGAAACCTCAGTAAGGTGTTCGTGAGAAGAGCAGAATTTGATTCAGCAATGTGCATTGATAGCTAGGAGTTAAATCTGCAACATTTATCGACTTACCTATACATATATTCTTCTTCCCAAAATAGAAAATCTCCAAGTACCACTATCAGAATACATAGGGTTGTCAAGTCTCCATATCAAGAAGTTGAGAGAAGAAAACTACGTCGGTTCGATTGTAGCTTCTCAAGAATTCATCAGTTTCATTCTGCAGCTGAAGTCAGTCTACGCTGAAAAGCCGAGAAATACACTAGCGGCGCGGGCCCCATGAACTTCCAAACGGATTCTAACAAGTGACCTATTTGCTAGAAGTTCAAGGCTTTACTCTTGTGTTATGAGCAGCTTGGCAGCGGTGCCACTACCTTGCTTTTAGATAAGATATAGCACTCCTCCTCCTGCTGTCATGTAAATCATCTAGCACTCTATCCGTTTGTTTAGGTCTGTTTTGGGCCTGCCATTTTTTTCTTGTTATGATAAATGATTTCCTTTGCCGAAATTTCTACTACGTTGGGAGGTTTTACATGGCATGTTTGCCTGCTCTATTTGGTTTGGTTCATTAAGTGCATCTGTCATTTCCTGTAACTCTCTTGCTTTTCATTCTGAGCCAGCTGCGGACAATGTTATGGGTGCTGTCGGCCGAATGGCAATGATTCCAACTGACTAAAACAAAAGTGCTTGCTTCCCCTTCGTCTTGATAGTTATGCTAGGACCATTGCAATAGTTGAGTGAGGCCAGCCACTCGATATATTATGGAGCAGGTAGCCATAAAAATGTGGAGTAATTAGTAAGGATATATCTGTGCGACTTTCAGTGCTGTCGATCTGTCAGATGTGGTGCCTGCGTCACACAGTGGAATTTACCGCAGTTCGTAGACGAACGGGAGCCTGTTTTGACCAGTGAATGCTACCCAGTGTGATGAGCAATCTTGAACAAAGCCTCTCTGATAAAGCTGCGAGGTCCTTGGCGGAATAGGGCTAAGTGGACACGGACGGTCTTGTGCTCATAATGATCGAATTGCTCTCTATTGTCACTTCGCTGGTTATGGAGCTTCGGGTGCTTTCTTTTAACTTTAACACTATTATCTCTAACATTGCGACGCCAGTGCAACGCAACTTTTTTAGAAGCTCCTTCAATCGTCTATAAATTTGGTCTTTTTCTGTATCAGTGATGCAACTTATTGGGGGTGGAAAGCGAAGAATATTCATTTTTAATAACTTGGATGCACCGTTCATTTGTGTAGCACAAAGCCCTTCGTTATTTCGTATCAAAAAGAGGACAGCGGATTCCGCTACTGCACTTAGTGCAGCTGTGACAACTACTTGGTACGTCATTGCTGCACGATCGTCTCAGAGTTCGTGCGCGTTTTGCAACTGTCGCTTATGCAGCACAGTACAGTCACTGTAAAGGTCCTGGAGTTTAGTTTTATGTAACAATTCTCCTCAAAGAAGTTCTATGCCTTGTAGAACTGCAGTCTTTTTTGTTTTGTACCAAAAAGTCCATATTTTAAACGCCTGTAACTTAAACAGATTGCTAAAACCTAAGAGGACAGTGTATAACAAACTTGGGTGCCATCCAAACAAGTACATGGCCGGCTTGCTAGTTTAAAGATAGCATGACTTGATGGTACTTGTTCCATAATCATCTCAGTTGGACTTCTGCATAGGAAGAGCGAACAGGAAACACGGTTGAAATGTATGCCCATGTAGATAACAGGTCGACCTGGTGCCAAGATCGAAGGAGAGGATAATCTGGAAAGACTGCCACTTAGCCCATCCGCGGGGATTAGAAACCAAGGTTTTTCTTTTAGTTTAGTGTACAGACATCCGTTTTTTTCCTTAGTTTGATAGAAAGGCTCCAGTAAAATTAGTTGGGTGGGCAACTGTCGCCTCCCTGGATGGGAACCCTGGGATTCAAATCACCAATGGTTAATGACAGTGGCAGAAATGGCCCAATCGCGCAGTCAGTGGCGTCTGTGCATCAAAGCTATCGTCTTCCATGCCTAGCTACTCGATTTCCGAATAAATTGAATATGCCGTCGCCTCCAAGGCTTGGTTGTACGTCCCACATTTCCGTTTTCCGGTGATCCAAACTTTAGCAGCTGGAGCCAATGTGCCAATGACGCGCGGTTGATAGCCGATAAATTGAACTGAATTGAATTGACTTACTAGCAAGTGGTGAATGAATCAACCTCAGTAGGAGTTTAAGATGGAAGCTCTCCTTGTAGCAATCCGAGAAAAGTTGTGGTAAGACAGAGCTGCAGTAGACTCCGCAACCCCCACCAACTTCTAAAGCAAGGTATTAACGAGATTTTTTACAACAGCCACCATACTCCGTAAAATTCATTCTTTGAGAGTGCAGGATTAATTGCTTGACGTTAGTGATCCCAGTATCTCACAATTCTTTGCTCTTATTTCACTTTTGCATTCTAGGTCTCAATGTACTTACCTGTTAGAAGCATTCCATTATAATTTCGTCTTACCTCGGCACATTGAAGTTCATTTCGGTCATAACACCAATTGGCCACCAGAAACTCTCTAAAAGTTATATCCTATCCATATGCTTGTGGGATTACGCCCGCATCTGAATGAAAGTATTTATTTGCTACTTCACAGCTTGTGAAGATGGTTTGAAATGCACGATTTTCCCACACCTGACTTTCCTCAACAGTGGAGAAATAGATGGGGGTTAAATTTTGGGTTCCCAAGTATGAAAATCATATTTTGGTTTGGGACACCTTGTCTTATCCTTGGCATCGCAATTCTAGCATATTGGACATGGGTAGAGTAGAAATCCCCGATAAAACAGGCGAACGAAAAATGGGTATCCGATTGCTCTCGTTTGATGAATACGCAACGAAGAAAAAAATTCCACCTGAGTGGCCCAAACAGGCAGGCAGGCAGGCAGCTGAGTCAAGCTAAATTGAAAAGTACGGCGCAGCACACTTAACAAATTTCTTCTTCAGCTAAGCTTGTGCCGCAAAACATTCGAAATCAACCCTAAAGATACTTCGTTATCCTCAACGACAACATCAATATTGACGCTGATGCTTCGCTGGTCAAAGATAGTTGGGCGCAACTAACCTTTTGTCGTTTATAATCTTCAAGGTGAGCGAATACCCTTTGTTCCAGTCCCTGTATAATTCCATGGTATTCTCTCATCCACTCTGGTTGACATTTGAATAGAAAATGATCCCTCAGTAGTGGCAAGCAGTAGTATCCCAATCCAACCGCTGCTGCAATTTTCAAACATAACCACGTGGTTTTTGAATGCAAAAGCTCATTTAACAGAGCGGAATCCATCTAAAACCCACATAAATCATAGTCGAAATTATAATTCCATAAGTAGCTAACCATTTATAGTACATCAGTCACCGTTAACTGCATGACATTGAGTAATCCTCAGTACTTCTCAGACATTGTGAACCCTAGAACCTAAATAGTCTCGGCTTTGACACGGGGTAACTGTGGCATTTGTCTAGCTGATATCGAATACAGCCAGTGACTGTCTAGTCATACCTGGCCACATAGTTTTTGGTGGCCTGAATGAAGCAGGCTAGATCCCCAAGATCTCCAAGCACCAGAAACAAACCTGAGACCGGAAAAAAACAGTATCGCATACTACGACTGATCGACTCAGCAGGAACGATGTGTGGAGAAATGGGTCACAACGACAAAAATGCATCTGAAAAAAGTAGGATACGGTGTTGTATCAAATGAGCACGTACATTAAGTGCATCAGTGTATGTAATCGGAAAGAAAACTTTTGTGAAGCATGGTATCCCTCAGGACCTAGGAGTGAATAACAGACGCGGTGAAATCAACCGAGGTTGTAATCATTGCTTGGTCTACATATGAATCGTTACCAGGATTCTGTCAAGACCGCTGCCAGCAGTTGCCATAACTGGACCATCTCTGGCATTTTGTAACCGGGCGTCGGTCAAGCGTTGCCAGATGTAAGATGTACATGGGCCGTATTTTGCTTGTCCATACAGTAGAAGAAAGACGACAAGCAAGTAACTGATACAGCTGCTATCTGGAAAATTAGAGACCATTGTAGGCAACAATGCTGACAGTATGTCCATTAGGGTATCGGTATAATAAGACAAGTGGTATAAATTAATGAACAAGTTGCTAACGTCACGTGTAAAAATCCTATGATTTATCAGTGATGTTTAGATCTCCGAAAAGCTAATCTGCTGCAATCCACACAACTGCGTGCATTTTGCAGATATGTCTGAAAAAGCATCGAGATCTCCACGCCGCTTTTGACAAAAAAAATTATAGATGGACCAGTTACTGTTAAACTGCTCGCTAGATAACGGGGCCAACACAATAAAAGATTCCTCCTCAATTAGGTTTTTTTTGGATAACTGAGCGCAACTAAGATTTACACACCGATAGTAGATGTCTATTGCTTCAGTGGTCAATCTCAGTTAAGACCCGATGTTATGCGAAGCTTTCAAACTTCACTTCCAAATTCCCTTCAAAAATCTCCCACAAATCACTTTGTGGTAGAATACTCCCAGTGGCAGGCTTTCTTGTAGAATGTGTTAATGCACAGCTGATTGTAGACATGATATACCTCAGAAGTTTTGACCATGGTAGATAGTAGTTTACAGTCACTAGTTGCACCATGACAAAATAAATACAGTTTGAACAATGGACTAAGTCAAAATGTGATTTATCGTTTGCGGATAACTCATGAAAGTCCCCATGTGAAAGCCCAGACGGCGGGAGCGTGTTTTCTCTACCGTATGGCTGCTACATGTGTTCCGTAATTGTCCGTGTACTTGACGTGTTTGGCTGACGCCCTGCCCCCTGCGTGCGCCCATGTGTGGTGACTGTTGTGTCTTCCTATAAAAAAGAGGGTTTGACGTGTTTATAATACACAAAATCGTTCTGAAGCGTACAAAGCCGAAAATGGTTCTTGTCGGCCGAGATTGCAAATGGGACAGTGTTTGTCATCCGATTTGTGTCCTTGCAAGGCGGGCGAGTCGCGTGATCTGGGAAACACGGATGTACTAGATAAATTGATGATAGTTGGATGATGGAACGAGGAAATATCCGCAACATAGGAACGCTATGGTAGCCCCGGTAACAGTAATTCTCCCAAAGAATGTGTTCGGGATAATTTCTGCGAATGGAAAACAGACAGTTAGCTCATGGACCGAAGCTCAATAAATAAGGTTGTACATCCCAAATAGCTACATATAAATTAAGCAAACTTGCAGACACCATGTACTACACTCTGGAGCAAGCCACGACCACTGATAGTGTCATCAAAACAGGTGGCTTGAGTTACCTACGCACATCAATTCAATTGGCCGATTAAAACTGAAACAGAAGGTCATTAAGTTCAGTGGGAATGTGCGTATCTATGAGGTCGAATGTTCAGTGATTGGGACTAGAACGTTTTCATTGATGCTGCCAGTTTCATGGCGAATGGAGCGAAATGAAAGAAACAGTTATGCAACGATTTACACGGCGGGGCCTCAATAATCATAGTAAAGTTTGATACGATGGGAATGTACTACGGTTTACTTAGATTAGCTTAGGAGTATAAAACAAAAATCTCCAATTTTTGTCTGTTTGACTTTTGAGTTCAGCGACAGATTCAAAGGTCTGAAAGCTTGAAAAAAATGGTACTGCATTATACGCAGTGGCGGACCATACCGAGCTTTGCATTTCGCAGGAGTCACAGATTCACATAGGATCCCTGTGTATGGTTGTTTTTCGTTCAATGGCTGGCGTTCACCTGAGACATCCAAGCGGAAAAAAGGGTCGCACTGCGTGGGGTAGTTAGCTTGTCTGCGCGAGGAGTCGCGTAACAGTACTAGATATAGTGTCAGCAACCATCCGATGAAATTTTTTCCACGCGGCAACCACCCAAAAATGAGAAAAATTTACCCAGTTAAATTGTAAACTCTAAGCTTGAAAATCTTCTTACCATATGCCTGAGGTGTACTAGATGATTCATCGGTGAAAAGCTTGTTGACGAAACCCTGTTCAAACAGGGCATAATTAGGGATTAGTTCCCCTCGGAGATGAAAATGCTTCATTCAGGTCAGGCATAGCGAGGCGTGTTTCGGAGTCCATGGATTCAAGGCCAGTAGCAATTTTCGTTTACACGCCCAATGAGGGTTACATCCTTCTCCCGTCCTGCGAAAACAATCTGGTTGGTATATTTAAGAAGCGGTCTTATATAGGTCTTATAGAGTATTCTGAAGTCCATGCGAGTGATGCGGGAGAAGGTGCGCTGGATTAAATAAGTTGGTAATTTACCGCCTGAAAAATAGTGGCTCTTTTGCACTATGCAATCCAGGGCCAGCATAGTCGCTTGCTCGTGCATTTGTAGCGCGCATAAAATGTGTTCAGCGGTACACTCACTTTGTTCATTTCGACAAAAAACACCGATCTGTTGGTGAAGTGCACTCATCAATATGCAGGCATCAAGGATAAAACCCATGAGGTTTCGGCCATGGATGAAATGGCCCATTGACGCCATATGTGACTGACTTTCAACAAAGGAAACACGTGTGAAGCACGACAAACTGGTGAAGCTTTAGTAGGGCACTCCTCAGGCTCAGCAGATAAGAACTGCCGGTGAGGATGCGGTTCAAGCTCATAAATGCAGAGAAAACCGTTTTCCGCCGCATTTTGTTTCATTTTACTGTTTGTCACGCTATTTTGCGTCGCGATTTAGTGCAAACCATGTAACTTCTTTCAGAGACATCACCGATCTACGGCCGGTTCAGACTGGAATAAAGAAGTCTACACTCCATCAGGCATTAGCACTTAATAGCTTGGGTAAACTGCCTGTAGTACCCAATTGCGCGACCCTTTCTCATGTGGGAATATTGTCTGCCGCGTTACAAAACTTTGAGTGGGCCATTACAAAAACTGAAGCAACAATAGGATCAAAAACGCAAATGAATTATCAAAAACATTGCTTGCAACAGGGACAAGTTAGCCAGATACTCTCGAAACTTATGGAGGCAGCCACGAAATCTCAAAGGACTCCTGCCTATGCAGACACCCCGTGAAGCTACTCTAGAAAATGGACCAGCATCGGGCACCATCGAAGAATTCCTCCATCTGGACTCACCTGACTTGGAGTCACATGCACCCTATAAATGCCTGTTATGTTGTGCACGTAGCCTGAGACATCTTATTTTCTTATACTTGATCATTTAGAAGTGCACTAGATTGATGTGCCAGGATCTTCTTGCATGCGTTTTAATAATTGGCGTCGTTGGCACACAATCGCTTGTTTTAGTTGCTCCGGGGGCATGGCCTTGACAGACAAAATGACTTGACAGACATGGCATGACTTGTATTGGTGCAGCACAATGGAGATTGACTGTACCTGCTTACACGTTTATCTTATGGCTCAACGTGACCCTCTCTCTAATACATACATTCCCAACACGCCCCAGACAAGGAGAAGTGTCCCGATTGTATACCACTTTAAGTGACCTTCAGCTATTGCTGCACCTGTGCTTCACTTGTGCCTGTAGTTTCGGTTTCAATATACGCAAGTTGTTGTTCCGTTCTGGTCTTCTGTCCTGCGTCACCCAGCATGAGAGAACGTGCCCTGTGCGCCCCGTAGTTCCAGTAATATAAGTTTTAAATATTTTCGGATTATAGAACTGGCAATTGCCGTCACTATATCATCGTGAACGTCAAGCACCGCTGTCTTCCTGACATTTCACGCTACAAGGGCCACAAATATATCCGCGTGTATTCTCACCCAAGGTAGTGGGAAACTGCGGAAAGGTTATTTCTTTACGCGTTTTCTACATCGGATTTGGAAATGATCTGAAGATTTCATGAACGAAAATTATGCCCTCTTTTTACGCGCAGCAAACATTCGTGACATGTATCAGAAGGGCTTGCCGTCGTTGCGGCAGGCTTCCGGCCGAACAAAGCCGAGGAATTCGTCACAGCTAGTAAGTTTATTTGTGATGGTTAGCACACTATATCGGGCGAAAGCAGTGTTTTATCTTCACCAGTATGCCGACCCCTTGATAGTGTTATTGGACGATTCTGTGGGTTAATTAGCACTACTTTTAAGTTCTGGCACAGCGAATCAGGACGGCCTTATGGCCGCATGAACCAGGCTCTGTTGGGAAATATTGGAGATAAGATGGATCACGGATTAGCCCTCTAACCGGCTATGGCAGTCAGAGTACCGTCATCGCGGTGTCTTACTTAAATTCGTGGCCAGTTCCGTACATGAACATCTTGGATTTATCATTTAGGTTTGTCGTCGTGGTTAAGAATCATCAAAGAATCGCGTTAAAATAAGCCCAGCACAGTTGAACGATATTGCCAGGTTCTTCGAGGCGGCGCAGTATTTTATTGCTGCTATTCAAACCAGATAATCAGATGGCCATACCTGTGTTTGAGACTAACAATGGAGAAAGTGTCGAAAAGGTCTGTTTAAAAGCACTATGAATGGGTGAGACTGCAGCCCAAAATAGCAATTCGTAATAGAATACACACTTTTCCTTTCAGAAACCCTGTCAAGCGAAAGCGGCCTCCTGAAGTTGACTGATTACACATTACGCCTGTTCCGATGCAATTAGTGAATAGAAATATAATTCTCCAAGGGTGGTTGTGTTTTTAGGTATAGGCCTGGCAGACGGACGACAGTTATGATTATGAACGACCCTCATTATTCGTTGGATCAGTCCATTGTGTATTGTTAGGACCTTATGGTTAGCTATAAGCATGGGTAGAGCCCTGTAGCTACTATAAGTGGCCGACAAGAGCGACGTTGCGTACAGTTATCATTATGACGGGCCACTGTTGATCTCAAGGCCAAATAAGTAAACTGGTATGGGCAAACAAACACCAGTTAATATACACTCACTAAACGCAAAATTGGAGCGGGGGTTACAAATAGGGACAGAAGAAACTTGGGGAATTTCAAATGCCAGAGTAATAGACGATACACCCGCCAACTTCTTCGCGTTGACTCAGCGGACGCAACAATTCTTGCATTCTACCTATGCTCAGCTTCATTCTGAGGTGCTCCATCGGCCACCGACACTAACGGTTTGAGTTCACTCCCGGCACAAATGCCGGCTTCCCTGGAGTATAGGCCTAGTCTTATCCTCCTAGTAAACACCGTCCTAGTATCTCCCTCAAGAACGACGCCCGCCGTTTTAACACTCAGGGTCCTCATTAAGCCATCTGGACTCGCCTCACAACTGTCCACTACCCGTGGAGGCCATTTCTCGCGGGGCACATATCCACCAGAGGTTCGGACCAAGTCTCATCGTTTGATCTTAAAGGATCCAAAGTAGTCCATTCTTATAGATTTGTAGGGACACCAATCCGCTTCAGTCCTGCCTGCCAGAAACTGACCCATCATCTGTGTACCGGGCTGTGCGGACAGGCGCCTATGTAAGGAGCACGCACTAATTACTCGCCTAACGGCGCCGATCCCGTTAATGACTCAACATCGTTGTCGGATAAAGGCAAGGCCCTTGCTGATCCACAGTGCCCTTATACTCCATGGAATTAACGTACGGTCAGGGCGGTACCGGGATGTTAGCTCGGGAGAAGGGTTTGATTTTTTACTGACCACCTTTTTTGATCCACTAATCCTGCCCCCTATGTACAACACACCATCGTTCAAGATATGTGACAAATTTCGTACGGAGGGAAATTTGAATCTCAAGGTCAGGTGCGATTGCTCGGACACTGCGTATCCGGTACAGATGCGTTAACCGCATGCGATCCCAGTGCAAAGTGACTGGACTGCACAATCTTCATCAAACAACCAACCGCTTGGCTGGGTCTGGATTCTCTGATACCACCTGGGGAAGATCCCCTTTATTCGCCCCGCCCTGTTATATCAATGTATATTGATTGTAGCGTAGTGATCAAGCTACGACCTTCATTAGATTCACCGAACAGGAAAACAAGGCTTTTAGTATGCGCACACCATTATTCCGTTCAAGTTTGTAAAGGGGTGCTTCACACCTCTTCAAATCGGGCTTTAATCGAGGTTGTGGAGGCCGACTGTTCTCTTGTTCGGATAAACATCTGTTTTAAGCAAGCCATGAAGGCAGTCGACCGTAATCAATGGCCACATGGTGTATGAGATAACACTGCTTTGATTTTGGCGGCTATTTGTGTGCACCCGCCATTCGGTCGCAAGTGACTCGGGAGCCTACACTAACACAAAATAAAGGCGATTTCAGCGAAACAACCTGCATA